GATTTTTTTCTGGGTGTTCGATCTTTGTCTAGTGGAGTAATTTCACAAAAAATAATTGAATATCATGGTGGTGAAACATCCTGACATTCAATAAAACACTTAATTACTTTCACAGAGTTCTTCTAGATAGCGCTAGAGTACAAAGTCGTTGAAAACCAGATACAAAGATGTAGAAGACATCGGATCGAATCCAGGCGGATCGTAGGATTTTTTTCTAAGTCTTCGATTTTTGTACTAATAATAATTGTTTAAATAATTAGAACAGAATTCAGTTACGACACGCAAAATTATGTTTGTAAAGCACCTTGCGTCTTCATTATGTCATCCACAGCTCGACGTTACCCATTGCCGGCTGGCCCCTCTAGCACGATGCAAAATATTAAAGATAATTACCTAAGATTTCGTTTCCTTCGAACAGGTTTTCGAAAACCACGTCAGCTTTATCTTTTAACTCGAATGAATGCTTCGAGTTTTTGATTTCCCAGTGTTTTTTTCCGTCCTCACCAACTTTTTCATTTAAGTCGATTTCAGCACTAATCACAAGTTTTCCTGAAATAATTGAAATAATTTGTTAATACACTGGTAATAATAGAAAACGTTTACAATAAATCGTGAATCATTAAAATCCTCTTTTAGGTCATAAATTTGCTCCTTTAGGTGATCAATTGTTTCATAACACATGTGGAATCTAGAACGGCTTTTAAAGTACTATAGAAAGGCAACATCGTTGGACTGCAATTGAAATTTCCAAAGCGAAAAATTCAGCTATTCAGTTCAAGGTTTTTATGATTGTTACACATAGGAAATGAAACTATTTTTTCGTATCTAAAATCGCGTACATTTGTATTTTTAAACAAATTAACTCTAAAAATCTCTCGGGTCCTTTACTGGTATATGAAAATACAAATACACGCGATTTATATCGAATTTTTTTTTTATTATATATAATTTATTCCCTAAAAGTTAGCTGGCTACTGCTAGCCACTACTGGCGACTAGTCGTTCAGACTATGTTACAAATTAAACATCTCAGATCGAGGATACCTAAAAAAGCAAAACGGGTCACTACCACGGACTTTTGTTATCCAAGTAAGCAGAAATTGTATAATAACCGTTAACATAAAATTTTGTTTCACAATAATTTCAAACCTCGTAAATACATTGCCCCTTAAATGAATTTAGGACTGACGACGACTGTCAAAAACAGTAAGTTTATTTTTAATCCTCGTACTAATGTTATGTCTGTCACTCTTTTTCATTAAAAAAATTAATATTTTTCTTAACATAAATAACATTTTCATAAATGTACCGTGACGTTGGTGTAAGAATGTTAATCTCTTCAAACTTATCTCTCAAAGTCACTCTGGGGCCCAGATGGTAAATTGCCCTAACCGCACGTTTCTGCAGGACAAAGATTCTATTAATATCGGCGGCATCACCCTAAAGCCGTATGTCATTAAACTGTGAAAGTGACTTAGTTTGCAACAGTTTCGCGACTCAACGATAAGCGAAGTAAACTATCTTAGACCAGTCGATATTGCAACAAGCACATAGAGAACTTCGTAATATCTGGCTCGATCTATTGCTCAGTTGGCAGGCAATAACCACACTCCACGAATAGGCCAGAGATACTGGTTCGAGTCCATTCGAATTGAGGGATTTTTTCTTTGTGTTTCTTCGATCCTTAGTGATACAAAAATTACTGTTAAAATAATAACAAACTAGTGGAGTATTTTCACAAATAAGGGCCTCTTCAAATTAGACACTTATAAAAGCGCTGTAGTGTATTTTCACACAACATTTAGAAGCACAGTTTTGCAGTCACAAGTAGTGGATTAATAATTTTTATTTAAAAAAAAGTGTTTTTTTTCGACTTCAAGCTGAAACGAATAAAAAAAAATTAACTATCGATTACCGGAAAGTACGCGAAACAGGATTCATCCACCGGATCTGCCACCCTTAAAGTTGGAATATTTTCTTCAAATTCAAATAGGACCAATGCTGTGGTAGCCTCTTTCCAAGAAAATGAAAAACAAAACAAAAACAGAACCAATTCAGAACGCCTCCTTTTTTAAGCCGCTTAAAAATTATGGAAGCACGCGGCTGCCGCGCCACTGCAGTGCTTCTAAAAGCGTCTAATTTGAAGGCGCCTTAATAGATTAATATCATGGCAGTAAAAACATGATACTCAATAAAAATACAATATGCCAATCGATATTGTTTCTGTTCGAATTAGCCAGTGAGCTTGAAAGCATCGTGATGGCGGTCTGTTTTCCAGTGAATACTGGACGTTCAATTCCATGTAGGTTTTTTTTATTATACCAAGTGACGTGATGAACAAATCTGGCGCCTGGTCGTAAACGACACCATAGCAGTTGTTGTGCTGCTCAGCGCCTTATGAGTCGACATTACTTCAGCTCGAATACAATTTTTTCCCACATTAATAGGGTTCATTTCGCTTGACACTGGCTTTTAAATCAGAATTTATTTTTTACAAACGAAATTAAACCCATTACAAAAATGTATATCGTATAGTATACGTTTTCCATTTCGTACAGATGATATAAAAAAAATTTTGGTATTATGTAAAGTACCTATTGAATACAACAGTATTCTTGTAAAATTTTGTGGTAATTTTCTGTTTCTTTTTCTATCGTGAAAATTTTTAGAAATCGTGTTTTCACACCGTATAATCCCCTCAATTTCACAATACATTTTTTCCAAAGTGATTGATTCAAAGTCATTGATTGATTCAATACTTTCACTGTTATGTGGAATCAACCAAAGCCATTTGAGGTTGTCTTCTTCTTGGGGTGCCATCTACTACCGGAGGTCGAATATCATTGTGGTAATTTGGGTCCGTGAAGTTGCGGCTCGGAACAGTTCTGTGGTACTTATGTTGAACCACTCTGCAAGATTTTGAAGCCATATGGTTCTTCTACGACAACGTCTTCTGCGACCCTGGATTTTTTCCTGCAGTATGAGTTGCAGTAGAGAGTATTTATCACTCACAGCTTCCTCTTTTTTAACTGTTTTTAGGAGCTCCAAGCCTTTGTGCATCCTCCGCAATACGTTGTCATTGGTGACTGCATCCGTCCACGATATTTTTAAAATTTTTCGATAAACCCACATTTCGAAAGCTTCTAACCGTTTACACAATGTCTGAGTTAGTGTCCATGCTTCCACTCCGTACCAAAGAATTGAAAATATGTACGCACCGCACTAAACGGCGGTAATCTTGTCGACAGTTTGAGACTACTATTGCAAAGCAGATTGCTAATTTTAATAAAAGCACATTTGAGGTTGTATAGAGTCTTAAATAGCATACAGTGGGGTATTGCCATTGTGCCCGTCATTTAGAGACATAGGTTTACAAGTCCTATGTACTTGTAATTTCACCATTACTCTTCAAAACAGGAACGCAGTAATGCGCACATCACTGTTTGGCAGCAGAAATAGGTTAGGTGAAAGTACTTCCCTGGACTTCGTAAGGAGCTCTACTGCTACCAAAAATGTGCTCATGTCATATAAAAGCATGTGTTCTTTATAAGTATAAGCGACGGCTGGCAAGTTACGTTTAGACCCTGATCGTGGCGTTAGTACCGAATTTTGATATTAATACTCGTATTATTTGTAAAGTTCTTTAAAAATTTGCAACTCAATGTAATATAGTCAGAAGTATAAACTTACTAAGTACGGCGTGCACAGCCCCTTTGCCTCGAATAGGCAGGATCAAAAGTTGGCCATTCAACTCGTACTGCCCATCCAGTTTGCCATCGCATTGGAGTTTTATAAACAGCTTTCCCTTTTCTGCGTCTCGTCTGCAATGTTGAAAAAATTTTTTTTTGTTTTAATTTTGAAAAAATGGTGTACTTTATAGTCTGTCTTTTTTGAAGACAGGGTAAAATGACATTTGCAGGATTGCCAATTGTTGACAGTTTTATCGATTGAGAAAAACATTGTCTTACAAATAAATGGACGACGGGTCTAATACAAAAAGCACGATAAAAATGTCCCAAGTCAACCAATTTAAACGTAGTGACATGTAAAGGAATATGAAAAAGCTAAAACGTTGAATTTAAGTTGTAAAGTCATCGCAGTACTGTCTAATTTTGCTTGCTTCGCTGTCAGTCGAACAAACGAAGACTAAAGCGTGAATGACGCTCTGTATACGATTTTAACGCCCTATAAGTTCGGACACTTTTTAGCGCGGACCCGACGTCCATATAATTGTAAGTCAATGGAGAAAAACGTAACATTTTACCAAAAAATATATCAATTGTGAATGTTACGATGTTCTAACGAATATTAATTGCCTTCTTTATTCTTATTTTTTACAATTGGCATACCAGTATCGATAAGAACAGCCGGATTTGATTATCAATTTTTTTTCATAGCCTCGCACTAGGGATACCCTGTATCTCGGGCTATGTGCGGGGACAATACATAGATAACCACCACAAATTACACTCAGACTCACGAGATAAATAAATGTATGTCATCCAAATATTTCTTCCGGTACGGGAATCGAACCCGGGACCTCTGCGTGGCAGTCTGGCATGGTAACCATTTGGCCACGGAGGCAGTTGTTATTCACGGAGGTCTATTATTCATGGAGGTAGTTATATATTAAATTTTTAAGAAAAACTTGGCTAATAGATGTACTTTCACTGAAAATACAATGTTATGGTGACCTAGAGCTGACGTGATGATGGAAATGACAGGCAGATGAGAGGAACTCTTCAACAGTGTACAGCAGCTAGCTTATGTTTGGGCTTGTATGATTCGTTTTGACGAGGACGATGAGGTGCTTTGTGATGTTTGTATGTATTGGGGAAGAGAGTGCGCGTTCGCCTGGGCGAAAAAAAATATTGCGCTCTGTTGTCTTCAAAGTCCGTTTCATTCCAAAGAGTTCACAAACTGGTTATAATATTTATTTATTTTTTGTTATAGCTTAAGGCGGAAATTATACAGCGTGAATATTTAGCGTGCATTGAATAAAATAGTTAACAGTCTTAGAAATTTGGTATAATATGGAGACGCTTATAGATTTTAACACTGTTATTGTTACTTTTTGAGGTATCCAAATTGGTAAACGGACCGCTAGATGGAAAGTGGTTACCGATGCTTACAGACATCTGCGGTATTGAGGAAGTATAATTAATAGGATAGCATATGCCCTTGGGACAAGAAACCTTAAGGCTCTCGTTCCTATGATTGTGCTAGTTCTAGGGTTGCTGGCACTAATTGACAGGGCGGGGTTCTTATAGGTTCTACAAAAACAGAAAACACTATAATCATTACAACTTAATGTTTATCATTAGTTACTGGTTTCTTATGGTATGGGTTTAAATTTTTCTGACAATATGTTTATTATGAAATAACAAGCGACGACGAGATCGACATTGCAGCATGTACACTTAAATATTGCCTATTCACTCTCGCCTTGAAAAGGGCCAAGTTAAAGCGTTGGTACTCAAGCAAATCGTGACCATGGAGCATGAAACCATTACCAAACATCATCTTTTTTAACCGCTCACGCGATGCGCTCCTCCTACCGCAAAATGGCGGCTATTTGGTTTCGCAAATTAGAAAAGCATTCAGTTTAAATACAAGTTTTTATAAATAAAAATTATTATTCTGCATTGCTAAATAAATACCGTCCGTACTACCAACAAAAACATCTCAAACAAAATGCAGTAATACACCGCAAATCCTGCACTTAAAATGCACTAATGAAATTTTTGGTGTACTTGGATAAATATGATAATATTCCGTTTGAGTGGTTCTAATGTTTACCATGAAATTAATTACTCCTTAAAGTATAGTTTATAGACATTTATCTTCAGGGTAAACTTATAAAACGCTACTTACGGTATGTTTTCAATAAATAAACACCGAAATTACCAGCCCAAACAATAATACACACGATTGTCGTGACGTATTTTTGAAGTTGTTTATTTTTTTTAAATGACAGACCCAGGCATTAAAAACTTTATTTATTACCGAAATAGCAATTAATATTAGTTCTTTTACCTGTTATAACTTCTATATCCGATAAATAGGTATAAAATCATCACCGGCACCTCTAGGTGTGGTATGCGTCTACGGCTGCATGTATCGCGTGAGCGGTTAATAAACTTAAATCGGTATTATGAGAACATAAGATGGATGTTGGTATTATAATAGAGACATATTATATTTATTCCCGTCGCGGTAGCCATGTAGTATTGAATAAGTGCACCCAATTTTAAGGCATCAGTTGATATACGTAACTACTATGTTTTATATGACATCGGCAGCAAAATTCGAGAATTTGTTTCACTGGGCCAAAATTAATAAAAATCGGAGGTGGATTCAATTGTATTTGGAACATTAAACTAAAGTCTATCTTCGATGTCAAATACGTTATTAACAAAACAGCCTGTATGAAATTAAAAACATGTAAATTAGTAATCAAGAGGTGGTTGTAAAAAAATAATAACAATGAGAATGAACTACTTAGCCGGATGTTATGTAAAGCTTGTAGATATGTAGTTTAATTATAATTAGATGATAGCTTACTTAATTACTGCCTTGTAGCTTTGAAATATTATAATTAGTAGTTTTTGTTTATGATTTAATTAGATTACTTATGCGTTTGCAATACAGGCTGCTATGAAAACATCGAATTTTTTACCAGTGGTGGTATTCATGGTAATAAGTGACTTCAATAACGAAATGGTAATGCAGAATCCGATTGATTGCACACCTTTTGTCTACAAGCCCACTTATATTTGGGTTATATATGGGTTATATATGGGTTATATTGCGTTATACATATATGGGTGGCCATCGACTCAGTAATAATTTTAAAACTTATGAGAGTTTGAATAGATATGTAATACATAGGAAAATAAATTATTTTTCCGGATTTAAATAGCGTATATTTGTTTTTTCAAACAAACCGACGTCGGTTACGGGACATAAAACTTTACAGGTCCTTTACAGGTCCCATGGTAAATACAGTACCCTTTAACATGGGACCTGTAAAGGGCCCGAAACGTTGGCTTGAAAAAACACATATACGCGAATTAAATCCGGAAAAATAGTTTCATTTCCTATGTGTAACAATCGCGAAAACCTAAGAACTCGATAGATATGTAATACATAAATCTTGGAAAATTAATTTACAAATTTTTTTTTGCCTGGTATCAAACTAGGGAATTCACTGTACTACGAGTACTAGAGCAACGGAATTCACCACAGGGCACCACTAAACACCCAAATCAGAAACAATTAAAACAAAAGTTCATTTCCCAAATAGATCCTACCGGGAATCGAATCCGGAATCTACTCGTCCGGCGTCCACTGTGCAAGCCGTTAGGCCTCCGAGGTTGTCAAGAACATCAAATTTCATTACATACGCACTGTGGATTTTTCTCAGTGTCCCACAATAATCATGCATAAAAAAATTATTTTTTCTAGAAGCCTTGTACTAAAACAAAAATAACTCCACTTTATTTAAATTTCAAATTGCATTATCTTCAAGCAAATGTTTCGTGTATTTTAACATCATAACACCCAGCAAACTATGATAGTCAATGATACTCGCTATGTACTAAATAATGGATAGCAAGTATGCCCTCAGTTTTCTATGAAAAATAAAAATTTTTAACGGACATATAGAATGAACAGGTTTAAATTTTAATGCGATATTTTTAGTTTAATGTAGAGTGATGGCACCAATGATCAACATTGTAAGGGAAGTGTGTCTTCAAATGTGAAATAACTTTTTGTTTTTAAACTTACATCAATAGTGATTAGTTTACTTGACATATATAATCCTCAAGAAAGATAATGCTGTAGTATGTTCATAAAAATGCTATTATAATTATTTAAAAAAAAGACTAGAATATCCCGAAATATCCACTAATGAACACCAAAGATCCACTAATTAACTGACCAGTTATCGACATTCACCAATAATGAACATCCAGTAACTTTTTTATTTTTTATAACATGAAGTGACGGGACGAACAAGTCGTGCGCCTCGTGGTAAGTGACACGCCTATTCATAACAGTTGCAGTACCATTCAGAGCTTTAAATCGCAAAGATATTATGGGCACTGCCATTGTGTCCGTCACTATGAGAAATAAGTTGATAAGTTCCATGTACCTGTAGTTATTTAATAGTAGTAGAGCTCCTTGTGCAAGAGTTCATCCAGGGAAGTACTGCCACCTTACCTATTTCTACCGCCAAGCAGTAATATCAGCATTACTGTGTTCCGGTTTGAAGGGTAAGACTGAAATTACAGGCACATGGGACTTGTCAACTTATGTCTCAGGGTGACGGGCGCAGTGGCAGTGCCCCTCAGATGTTTGCGACTTAAAGCTCTGACTTAAAGCTTGTTGGTCACTGGCGCCACCACCTTACACTGGGCGTTTACGTGATCATATGAATAATATTGCCTGGATCTAATTCACTTCAGGTATTACTTATATGAATGTTTTGATGTAAACGGGGCCTGATGAGGGTAATAACAGAACATTTTCAACAAAAGCACGTAGTTTCACAAATCACCCCGTTTCGTATCAAAATATTGTACATAAGATTGTAGTAGAAACAAGTCAAGTGATAATGACAAATAATTCGTGATTTTTGGACAAAGTCACAAAGGACATTAAAAGCAATTGACAACTAATGTCCACTTGCACTAAACGTAAGTATATCTAAAATCAATGCTTGTTATGCAAATGACACTTTTATCGTATTGTGTTAAGAGTGTCTTATCAATTTAGAATTCGTTTAAGACGTACAGTACTTTAGGGCAAATTATATATTTTATATACTTATTTTAGGGTTTTATATTAATTATTTTATAATAATTTATATTAAGTATATTTTAGTATACTAAAACATATATGTAAAATAATATGTTTTGGTATTGATTAAGTAATTGCCTATTGCTGGTGTAAATATATAATAGCTCTTAAAGAATAATGAAATTTTATTTATAGTCGTATGAATCTAATTCTAATTATTTAAAATTGTTTATTAATCTAATGCGAAAAATAATTTATTAATGTTGTGTACGCATTAATGGGATATGTATTAGAAATTAAAATAATTATTCAAGTATTTTACGAATGTGTAATACGTATTCTGTAGATGTACCTTATTACATAAATAAAGTATGCAGTCAGTTTTCTATGAAAAACAGACTATGGACACCTATGACTATGGTCATATAGAATATGTTAAAAAAGTAAAAGTAGCAAGTGTCTCGGACCACTGTCCTGAGCTTCTCAGTAACATTGGTTTGCGTGTTCTTCATTTCGACATCCTAGCATACCTCATGTTCCTTTGGCGAAAGTAAAAACTATACATAAAATTCTTCCTACATGAGTGCTATAATAGAATAGCGAAGCAGCACGATATGACTTTTTCAATACTTCTCCAGACCAACTTAAGCGACTACTCCGTAATCAGTTTTTTTTTATTATTTCCCCGTAATATGTAATATAAGCAAGAGTTTCTATTAATGATTTTTTTCTACTGAGGGTTTGCATATTTCTAATGAAGAGTTTAACTGTTAACTTATTAGCGGTAACTTGTAATATGTTGATTATTGTATAACTATTTATATACAAAGCTGTCAGTTTCCATAAAAATGTAAAATAAAATAAATAAAAAATACTTCTGAATTTTAATGCAATATGTTGATTATAATGTACACTGGATGTTTGTCTACGTGATCGTAGGAATAATATTATCTGGGTCTGATTCACTTTACGTATAATGTACATTTAGATTATAGCGACTCATCCGAAGAACAAAGACCGATTGTCCGAAAGTGATTATACAGCGAAAAGAGGATAAATACATAATTTCGTTATTCAAACTAAGGCCTGTGTAAAGGTGTTTTGAGAATTTATATACCTTATTTCGTTTCGAAAATACAAAATCGAACAACGGTCGATCTGACATCCACAGCGAAGAAGAACGAACGAAATGTACTATGCCCTGAGAACAAGTAGTCTTGCACATAGATCTTTGTTTTATGGATGAGTCGATAGGTTCACAAACTTTTAAGCTTAACCACTTTGCCCACTTAGGCAAGATAAAAAAAATTCCACGCCCAACACCACAAAACTTAACTGAAAACACGTATTTTTTATGTTAACACAAAAAATCTCAAGGAAAAAAGTTGTAACTACAATATAGTGTTGTAGTTTATATACATAGATAATTGCTAGCACCTCCTGGACAGCATCAACGCCTCCCAATTGCTTCCAAGGCCCCTACCGTTTCCCCAGGACTCTTCAGAGCCCACTGGGGGGCGCTAGAGACCATTTTGAGAAACTATGATTTAGATGTATACGGGGCCATAAGACTATAATTACGATAATACCTATTATCCGACTCATTGTGCATATATTTTGTCAACAACAATAGTATATTTTTATCAAGGGACTAAAACAAGCCAATGCATAGGTGTCTATGTGAGGGTTTATATTGGCTTTTAGTCTTCAGATTTAGATTGCGACAAAAAATAGTCAATTAAGTACGAAAAGGTTTGATAGAATACAATATTTTACTTAAAGTGGAATGTACAATAGGAATTTTTTTTAACATTATAAATATAATAAGTTTTCCACAATGTCGATAGTTGATAATTTTTCGACGTCTCGTAAAAATATGTTAAACATTAATTTTGTTCATTGCAACCTTTTACGTTCTACAACATAATCACGAACCAAAATTCAGAAGTTTTTATGATATTTTTTTTTTGCCAACGAGACATAGATACAACAAACGCACCAACGCGGGAAAATAATAAAGCGTTACCGTCTATGCGGAAAAGACACAGAACTAAAACCGGAGCGTACAACTGACTGTTTGAGTTTGCGTCACTAGTAGTAAATTTAAAAAAATAGGTGCTTTTTACTCCATAGGGAATAAAGGATGCACTTTACTTCCGCTACGGAGAGCTATATTGATGTACGTTCACGGCATGAGAAGTGAAAAATGTATTTGTGTTGGCTGTGTGGGGATGGACGCCGACTAAATAACAATATTGAATCGTATATTCTCTACCTTTTTTGTACTTATTGTAATTAGCGCACAAACCAATTTTTTCACTAATTTAAAATTGTATCAAGAAATACTTACGAAGCCTTCTTCGGTACACAACTCTTCATGCCTTCAACAACACCATCAATAATTACAAACTTGAGTCCAGATCTACTGGCATCCACTTTCTTCAGAGTCAATGGGTCCAGAGTTTTTATGTTCAGCTCGGGAATGCCTTTTACGAAAAATGGAATAGCCGTTGCGATATTGTTTTTGATGCATTTTGAGTCCGTCGCTTTGCATGGAGTTATGAATGATACTGCAGAGGAATATAAATATAATTTGTTTAAATTTGAGGAAGCAAGTTCTCGTACATGAAATCTATTTGAATTGTTTATTGCTACTTTATTAACGAGCGAATTTAATTTATGAATTATATATATGCGTGTAATTAATGTACAATGGTAAATAAGAACCAAATGGGTGATGGAATGCTCGGTAGCAATTCTAATCAAGCGTCTTTGTTCTGTAATTGAAAGCGACTAATTTTATTATATAATTTTGAATAAATACACCTGAATTGCCCCGAACGAAAGACACAGCCATAAATACACCGGCTAGGACACTAAACATTTTAGCACACATTTTTTTTGTTTTTATTTTCAGTTTTGTGCGCACGACTGATCTAATACAACGCCTGAATCCTTGTGAGATCCATCTTAAAGTCCAAGAAGCGTATTTATACAAAATCTACTACAAACCAGGGCCATCAAGGGTAATAATCCGCCATTCGGCAACTGGTTATTTTTTAAATAAAGCGTAGATTTTCATTTTGGACGTCACACATTATAATATTGAGCACAATTTTGGATAGCAGAGTATTTTCTTTCCATCATTTCCTTATTCAATTATTTTTTCCTGACTGTTGCTACGTATTATGTTAATAAATGTGATTATAAATACGTAACGCGAAGTGCTATATGTACCTATACTCGTATCAATAAAAACAAATTGTGTTCGATACATCACTCCGAACTATTCAAAGAATGCAAATTTACATTTTGTTAGCAATGAGTTTGGGGTGGAAAATAACTTTGATTAATTAATGTGTTTGTTAATAAAGCGGTTTAATCATTTTATATTCTGTGCAATGTATTTCATAGTAAATTTTATTTCATAAATTAAACATGTAAGATGTAATTTCTCTTTATAATTATAATTAAAGTAATCCAACGGCTAGATGTTTCCAGAATAAAATATGGGTTTTTATTTGGTTTTTATTGTTTGCAATTGGAAACTTTATGATTTTAAAATTTCCGTGATTGGAAATGAAAATATTTTTCCTGTTCTGAATGGCGTATACTTGTTTTTACAAACAAAGGGCTCGAAACTATAAAAATCCCGAAATATTGGTTTGTTTGAAAACGCAAATACATGCGATTTAGTAGCAAATGAGATTAAGATCTCAGGGAAAGCCGGAATGGCTGAAAACCAGTGTTGAGCAAGGCTTACGGAGCCGAGCCAACAGAAAGCTGAGCCATTGCCTTTTGCCTCAGACCTCTATATATAAAATACATAAGATTTTTATACCGTTATTGAGGTAATAAATCTTTTTATTATTATAAGAGCTCTTTGTGAAAGAGTTTGTCCAGAGAAGATTGTCACCTTACCAATTTCTGTTGCCAAGCTGTAATGTCAGCATTACTGCGTGACAGTGTGACCTCCTTACATCGTCATCCCACCCTTTTATCGCCTTTCCCCGGTTCCTGGCCACTTGTATTTAAATTAAAATTTTGAATTGTCCATAGTTCTTTTGCTTCGATTTTGATTTTGTACCGTCACGTCTTCTCTTCTCTTATTTTTTTGAGCGTGTACCAGTTACTAAATATCTCTTGTACGCTAAATATTTTAAAGATCTTGTTAAAGAAGGAAATATCGTTAAAAAAAGTTGAAAGAAGATATTGTTAAAATCGGAATAAATACTTATAAAACTCGATTTATTACCACTAGTTCTTTTCCCTTTTGAATTTTGAACTTTAAACGCACTAAGCAAGATGTATGGAGGCGAGCTGGCTGCGGAAAGTACTACTATTCTGCCTAACTACTCTCCAGGCTACATTAGTATCCTACAGAACTCCCACCAGCACCAGCAGCGCCCTCACAACTGTGTTCCGGTTTTGAAGGGTAAGGGTGCTGGTGAAATTACAGGCACATGGGATTTTTCAACTTTTGTCTGGCAGTGCCCAACGGATCTTGCGATTTAAACTCTAAGAGGACCAGGAGCACGATTTGTTCGTCCCATCACATGGTGTCAAAAAACAAAATTATACAAAAACATAGTTGCATTCCTATTACTTCAGTCTTAATGCGAGGTATTTTGACGTGAGGTAAGATTTTAAGAGATGAGGTGTGTGGGGTCGCTCCACGCGGCCCGTAATCTGCGCGGTGTAAATGAATATGAATAAAAATTTGTACAGAATACTAAAAAAACCGACCTCAAAGTCATTCATCCCCTAGTTTGCCAACCTTATATGTCGAATATTTTCTTTAAATTTAAATGGGACCACCATTGAGGTGCCCTTTCTCTAACAAAAAAATCTTCAAAACCGGTTCACAAATTCCGGAGTTATCGCGTGACATACATACAAAAAAAAAACATTCAGTCGAATTGAGAAACTCCTCCTTTTTTGAAGTCGGTTAAAATAAGAGCAGGTGGAGAAAATTTAACCCAGATCCGACGTCGACAAGCACTCGATGGCGATTGACGGGACAGCAGGTAGTGCGTCGTATCATTAATCCGCAGGGAAAGTTGCAACTTTTGGGATAAATGTGAATTTAATAAGTATAGGGCATACAATTGAAAACCAAAATTTAGTATGTTCTTTATAGTACGTACGTAAGTACTCCACACAAAAATTATGTGCCAAGTTAGGTATTTTATTCTTAAATAATTAGTTTTATACTTTTATTTTAGATTGTTTTTAGGATTTTCTAAGAGTAGGCCAAGTACATCATATGTAACAAATTAACACATTCTTTAGACAATGTCCTTGGGCGTATCGTATATTTTGTGTAAGACTGTTATTTAATAATAAATACGTACACCATTTGTTCTAGCAAAACAGTTTTTCCTGTTTCTCCTCCAGTGACTCGACTAAACAAAATGTAGCATTTTTTTGGTTAATAATGCATTGCTTATAATAAGTAATTAGTTTCTATTTCCGAGTACGTGGGTACGTCAATTCAAAATAATCACATACATTGTCACACAATACATCTATCATTGTGTTGGCATACGTCTTGTTCTACCCGCTACTTTATATCATAAAAAAAAAATCCAAAATCATCATGCGTAATGCGTTTTCCTGTGTATATAAGAAAATGTAGCCTCATGTATTTTCTTTCCTGTTTTTATGTATTTTCTTTTCTTATTATTTCCTGTGTATATAAACCAAGGGTGAGAAATATTCGCTTCCCAAATTGGACCTACACGAATCTGGGACCTCCTCATCACCAGACTTTCGGGCCAATAAGGTCGTCAAATGTGTAACACACATCAAAAGTGTCCCATTTCTGTTAATCACTGAAAACCGGGTTTTTAATTATTGTAAACTATATGAGCAAATTCTCATAGCAACGAATCGGGTCTGTGTTAATTTGTCACTGTCTAAAAATGTGATATCTTTATATCCTCTAATCAAATTTTTTATTACAATGGTTAATAACAAAACGTTATTAAAATGGTTTAGGAAAATAACATTTTTTGTTGCTCATTATTTAGGTTAGTTTCGTTCGCGGCCTGTTCGCATAATTAGAATTTAAATTGTATAGGTAATTGGGTTATGTAGGAATACTTATCTGGCTTATTATTGTAAAGTATCTACAGAGACGTATGATTTATGAATAAGATAATTAAGATTTTGATACCTATTAATACGTCCTCTAGATAATAAGTAGGTAATGGTAGTTGATTATAATGTTTTATATTTAAAAAAAATAAAACCTACTTAATAAGTTCGTGGAATTACATCCATTTGCCAAGGTTTATTGAAACCGGTTACCGGAAAGTGCACAAACCCGGATTCATCTCCTAGTTTGCCACCCTTAGAGGTGGAATATTTTCTTTATATTTAAATAAGACCAATACTGAGGTACCCTTTTTCCAACCAAAAAAGAATCATCAAAATCCGTTCACAAATGCCGGAGCAGTCACGTAACATACATACAAAAAAATACAGTGGAATTGAGAACCTTCTCCTTTTTCAAGTTGGTTAAAACGAGACAGAATTGTAAAATTTTATTTTATACTTATTTAATACACAACTCATCCAGCATCAATTTTTGATTCTGAACATGGAATACTACAAACAAAAAATGTTTACAAACTCTCCCTTCAAATCACTAGGGATGACACAGTTTTTATAAATAATTAATAACTGGTCATTTTTATGTTGGTTTTCAATCACTTACTAGTTATATTCAATTAACTTATTTTGTTTTAACTTCCTATTACAATTATTAAAGCGACATTTCTAGTCAGCCGCTGGTAGCTGTAAGGGTACCTGCCTGAGTGAAGAAAAACTTCGATAGATTTCTGCCAGATAGATCTCTCTAAGACAAAAAAGACCAAGATCAGCACCAAGCACATAGAAAAATTTGTAAGATCAGTTGGGAGAGCATTGGCCGGGTATGGTGAAGACTCGAGTTCCAGCCGGGAACTTTTCCTCGGCGAAGGAATTTTTCTTGATGTTCAATCTTTGCATTAATAATTATAACAAACTAGTGGAGTAATTTCACAAAAATAATTGAATATCAATTCAATAAAAATTTAATTAATACAGTGAATAGCGACATCTCTCGCCAGGACTGGTAGCTGCAAAGGTACTAACTGGGTGATAAATCTGTCATAGATTTCTCATAGATGGCGCTACGACTAAAAAGTCGTTGAAAGACCAAGTACAAAGACACGACGCAAGCACACAGAGAAATTCGTGAGGTGCGTTGCTTAGTTGGTATAGCGTCTGGCACGGTATGCAAGAAGACATCGGTCCGAATCCGACCGGATCGAAGGAATTTTTTCTGAGTGTTCGATCTTTGTATTAACAATTATAACAAACTAGTGAAATAATTTCACAAAAACATAATTGAATGGCATGAAGCATTGTGGTATTTAATAAACTTCGTATTACAAAACTAATGATTTGAAACATGATTTGTTGAACACTTGAATCACACATTAGTGTTATCGATGGCCTCATAGAATTTTGGGTAAAAGAATTGAAATTGTCGTAACTGTAAAACAGTCTGAAGTGAAGATCCTGAAAATAATACGTGTTTTTAATTTTGTTGACATTTATCGTACATTGAATTTGATTAGAGTGTAGGTAAGCTAGATAAGTTTCAGTATTCCGTTCAAAATTTCGACTTTTGGTACAATAGGCTGAACTTCATTTTTTGGGTACTAGGCATTGTTGGCAATCTGCACCGTACAATTCTTCACTATGTCGTCTTTTTTGACTCTTGTTTTCAAATTTTTAGTTCCATTCTCATATTTGACTGTGCTTACCTTTGAAATAAAAAAAAGAAAATGAATGTAAGCTGTTAGAAATAGCCGGGTTTAATTTTAAAATAATCCTTAACAGTTGTAATAACCATTATAC